CAACCTGTTTCTTGCTTTCCATGATAAAATACCGACTTGTTGGCCCAAATTGCGTTAATCCAGAAGGGCTATTAATTTTGTTTTGTCGTTTTGTGGCGTTTCACTATAAACGGCGTCTCACTTTTCAAATTGTTTCCACCAAGTATTTATCGCTCTATATTGTAAGAAATTAAATAATGAAAAATCCGCATAAATATATATATGTTTCTTGCTTTGTAATAAAACAACTGTACCTAGAGCCATCAAATTTTGAGTAACGTACGTCTCCACCCGAATATGGGCATCTGGCCATATTTGGATTCCAAGCCCAGATTTGGAATTCGGAATTTGCTTTATTATCTATTTCATACGTTTTAGAACATTTATGAGTTTTTGATTAAGAAAATCCACGATATCAATGCGAGCAATGGCAACACTGTACGAAAAAAAAAACATTTTCATCTCCAACGCGTAAGACTGTGTATCGGAAATTATATTAATAAAACTTACTTAAGTTTTATTAATAGATTTTTCTGGTCAATGGGATTTTGATTATTCAGATTATTTCCCGGTGTAAATTCAGCTACCGACCGGCAGTTAACCCCTTGCACATCACTGAATTCCTTTAAAATTTCACCGAGTGCCATGTGGTCAATACCGACTCAGTTAGGAACTCCTGGTTTTATATCATTTATCTCTTTACTAATATAAGAATGATGATTACTTCTCAAATTAACATTACATTACGACTTGAAATTTGAATTTTTGATTTTGTACTAATCAGTAATGTAAATATTGAAATTATTTTTCAATATCTAAGCTGTAATTTTAGCATGATTTTAAAATATTTGACAATAAAAACGGTTTTTGTGAAATTCGGAAAGATTTTACTGTTGTTTAAAATCTGCCATATTTCAAATTCTAAAATTAATTTTACGTACAGTAACTGAAAAAACATGAACGTGAGATACAAACCGTATTTTTGTAGCTATGTTTCACGCGTAGCATAAATAGACTCTCGAATTAGTTGTTGATGTTCCCCTATACGTATTTACGTGCTACGTGTCAATATTTTATGCCGTTGGTTTAGATTTATTTAAATTTTGCTTAGTAGCTTGTGCATTATTATTTTTTGAATTTTATTAGGAAATTGCCTACTTATCTTGCAGTTCTCAACTGAACGATTTCCTGTTTTAATACGTGAAAGCCAAGCAACAATGGATGCTTCGAGCTTTAGGGTACGAAAACCACCTGGCGGAGACACAAATGATATCTTTAACCTCGAAGTCCGACACAAGGTTCAAGCAAACGAAATAGAAGCAAAGCAACGAGTTTTCAAAGAACTTCAAGCATACAGTAACGAAATCCCAAGTAAATATTTCTAAACTTATTTACTTTTAAATAGTGAATCTGTTAAATGCATGATTTGAAACATGATATATTTATCTAAACTAGCAATTACATTTAGCCGTCCGTAATAAAAAAAGACAGCTTGTGTATGCCTTGTGCGTGTTTATATCGCATACAGCAGAGATGGAAATGCCCACAGCTAAGAAATTTAATGTATATGCAAAGTGCTAACTTTGAAATATGAGAAAACGTTAATTTCGCTCAGTGCCGGGACATGAATTCAAAAGAGCTATAACTTGTCATTAATTCACTTTATAATGCATGATTCATGTTATTGAACGAATTATAATGTGATTTTGATAGAAAATGTATTATTATTTAAATTTTTAAATTTTGCATTGAGAAAATCCTGAGCAGCGAAAAAAAATTCCGTGTTTTAAATATTATTTATGACTTCTAAATATTAAAAATCAGTTTAATTTTGCATTTTTATTTGAAATATTTTATTTGAAATAAAAATTTTATTGTTTATGATATTTTGTATAATTTATGTTATGGATGATGTAATCAATGACGTCACCTTGCTTTAAAAGTAATTTTAATATCTATAAATTTAATCTAATGTTTTAAACATTATTTATGGCTGTTAAATATTAAAATAGAATTTAATTTTGCATTTTTTAAATGATTTTATTATGTATGATTTTTTTAAATAATTTGAATACTTTACTATGGGTAAAATACGTAAAAACAGTGTTTTTCAAGATGGCTGACGATTGTTAAAAACCGCGCATTCAATTGCGCCAAAGTAAATCGCCAAAAATCCGTGCAACCATCTACCAAAGTAGCACCAATTTATCTTCAACACATCTTCAAGCAAAACGGATTTCAATCTGTTTAATTAATAATTAATTCAATTTACGTTATGTATATTTCCTAAATTTTCCAACTTTGTTGCATTCATAAATTCTCTGAAACGTTGCGTTGATTATAATTTCTTGAAAAACGGCCCATGAAGAAGTTAGAATATGTTCTCCAGTTAAGGCTAATTTCTTATATAATTCTTCATTAATATTTAACATCGTCGTATGACATTACTTGTAGGTTTTATGTAAGGCGATCTGAGGTTTTGCTTTGTACCGGTTTTATATACTTTTTCTCAACATGAAATTCTTATTTGCTCTCCATCGGTGCTGTTTTTCTTCAGCCCTGGAGTAAATGTTCTCATGAAAATTAAACTATTTAATGAATTGCTGTGGGTCACAAATCAAAAATTCTTTCCCTGAAAAAGTATTAATAAAATGTCTTCACTCCATATCCGTTATTAAATAATGAAGAATCTGAATGTTGTATAGATGGATGGGTGTTCCTCGCATTGTGAAAAAAACGTCTGTACCTACAGCCACCAAATTTTGAACACGCATAGTCTTCTATACGAATATGTGCGCGTCGAAGCTCGAATTTTGATTTCAAATTAGTTTTTTATTTATTTAATATTTTGTCCGAACTTGATGAATTTTTTATAAATATGAATATGAATATAATATATGTTATTTATAAAAAATTCATATTTATAAATATGAATTTTTTATAAATAAACTCAATCATTTAAAAGCAATATGCTTGGTGCTGTCAGCAAAGCATAAGATACTTATTTTTTTATGTTTAATTAACACACACAGCGATTTAAAAGAAATCTGTTGCCATTACCAAAATAACTAAATATTTTATCTTCCATGCGCCAGTATTTTTTCATTCATCAAATAGTAAGCTATTTAATTTTTCTTTCAGATTTAATCTGTCTGTTTTGTTTAACAATCTAAGCGATTTAAAAACAATAAACGCAATTATTCATCTGTCTTATTATTAACTTGGCCCAATGAAATTATACTAGCTACACTCATTAAAATCCTCACATGTTGTTTTTCCTTTCTATAATCTTTATATTAGGCTGTTAGCCGTTTATTCGGCTAGTAAGTTATATATGTAGTTATCGGCGATCATCTGATTGCTCATAATCTCTTGGAATTTAAGTTATGATTTAAAAATAGAATTTTCATGAATAATAAATATTAAATTTGTGAGTATAGAACCTAAACAAATAAATAAAAATGAAAGCAAAAAAATATTATATCTGCTGCAACTATTTAATAAGACATCTTAAACGAAACAAATTTTAAAAATTATTTCATTTTAGGGACCGAAGTATTTATATTTCTTTATTGAACAAAAAATGAGTTGAAAAATGTTAATGTTTTATTAAAAACATGTTACTACTATTTAATTAAAAATTTAAAATGCCATTTAGCGGCATCACTTCCTGTTCATTGTTCAAGCATCACTTCCTGTTCATAGTTCGCCGTATGTGTTGACAATACTTTCTATTTCGGAAGCATGTGATTTTTTGCCCTGCGTCGCGTGCGAAAAGAACTGCATCGAGATGTTGATGAACGTTACCTTAGAACATAAGGATATTCTTGCACTATTATAACAATTCTTGATTGCATTTTGAGGCCAATTAATTAACATAATAATACCAAATACATACAATTGGCTATTTATCTTTTACTGTTTCTTGCTTTAACTGATAAACTGTGGTATTTCATACCAAACATTTCATTTGCAGATCCTTCATCTAAGTTGTGTGAAATTAAGCCTGAAATTTCATCTGCTGATAAACTTCGAAACCATATGGACAAGCCAAATGAACGTAGTTCTAACTTCTTCCCTTTAGATAAAGAAAATATAAAGCAGTTTGAAGAAGAGAATATTTTATCTGTGGATAAGCTTGGAGATATACTAAAGGAAGAGCTTTCTGTTTCTCCTGAAACGGATATTCAAACAGAAGATGATCCTGAGTTAGCTACCAAGAAATATTTGATTCACAATCCTATCACCGGCGAGGTTGCCGAAATGAAAGTACCACCACGAGCAACGTGGGCAAAAGCTTCCAACATTCCGAAATGTCAAGATAATTCTTTAGGCTTGTCTTCTATTTCTAGGCCTAGCATTCGTGTTCGACAACCACCAGGAGGAGTATGTTCAAATATATTTTATTAAATTCACAATGAGGACAAATATCCTCAACTTAGAGGAAAGATTATGCAACTGAACTTTCAAGTAAGGGAACCTTGTATTATTTTGAAAGACCTTAAGCAATTCTGTTCGTAAAAATACTTTCTCTAAAATTCTTTCCTTAGAAGTTACACTGATCGCGTGCCACATAAATTCTTTGCTTGATTTTATTCTAAGTGTTTTTAAAATTTCGGGAGCGCAGTTTTTCAAAATTTTATTTTGCATGGACGTAGTATTATTTCCTGCACGGAATTCGTTTGCGTTGGCTTTAGGTTTCAAGTTTCATCTTTCTTCTGCAAAATTCTTCAGAAGCAGTTTACAAAACAGAAGATGATAAAAAAACTGATACGAAAGAGGTAGTTATATACATCATTATTTCGAAGTTCTAGTTTGTAATATAAAATTTGCATTACTTGTTTTATTTGATTAGAATAAAATCTTTTGATAACGAATGTTTTCGTGGCTTCATTTTAGACTTTTATTGAAGAATTTTACTATTCGTTTTAATATGAATGCATTAACTCTCCGCCGTAAATTTTTGCTGCCTCCACTGTAGCATCCTGAGACGTCTTGAACTATGAAAAAGATTTCTAGGAGTACTGTTGCACCTAAGAACTGCATTTTCATAACTTTAGATAAGCTGACCGGTTGCCTTAATGAACAAAATTTTGCACTTCTTAATATTTCTCAAAAAAAATAAAAGGGTTTAATAAATTTGGAATTAATTTTTCGAAAATGTCGTAATGTGATTCGGTTACCAGATAAGCTTTATGCAGGTTCGAATGTTTACTGCAGCAAATAATTGAACACTGGCAGTTTCATAAAAGAAGATCCCATTGAAAACGTTTTAAAGAATACAGGTCCTTATACGTTCTAAATCAGAGAAAAACACCAAAGAATTCATCTATCCAGCTGATTCGGCCATTAAAAAATGAAGAAAAGAAGAATTGTATAGCATTCGGTTCACTAACATAATATATCAGTGGAGCATATACACAAAATTCTAAACATTTTGCATTTTTATTTTTGAAGAAGGAAATGGATCTATGTTTGATCTTCCTCGAAACACATAGAGTTTTATGAAAAACCTGTACTCGTCTTAAGTTATTTTTCCCTAATTTTAAACTTTACATTAGTGCATTTCTTTTTCCTTTAGAACTTTGCATATAACATAGTGGTAGCAAATGATGAATATGCCGCCTCTGGCAGTTTATAGCCGCATATCATTTCCTGATGTTTTTATCCTTGGAAAAGCAAGTAGAGAAAAAGTTTTACTTAAGGTAGTGAAATGAAAGACAACAAGCCAGTAGGATTTAAGAGGACATTCTAAGACCGTCTAATTCATGTTTTTAAATCTTAAATGCAATTTAATGTGAAGAGCTAAAATTTAAATCTAACAGAACCGTTTGTAAGGATCTTAAGTTTTACTAACGTTTATTTTATTTTAAATCTTTACTATCACTTCTTATTTTCTACTTCCGGCCAGAATTATAAGCGTTAAAGTTTTTATGCAAAGTTTGTCTGGCGAAAGCCAAGTACTTAAGTTGTGGCTTTTTGCCAAGCGAAAGAGAGGAAGCAGTGAGTCGAAGCAGGCCGCTTACCTTAGAAGTTTTACGCAGTTGTTGGTTGCCTTCCAGGCCAGAGGTTTTAATCCTCTTGATAAATTTTAAACGTATTGTAGTGTTCACAGTCTCTGTACTACATACGCTTCTGTTTATAAGGCCAATCTTCCACGTGTATTATTTTAAAGTTAAATTAGAGTTTAGTTCTTTTTATATTTTTACGTTAGACCCCAAGTAGCGGGTCTGTGTATTCCGAAGTACGGAAGTATTGTAAATAGAGAAAAATAAAGGGTTTTGTATACCCTTCTTGTGTATCCTGTCTACTTCCCACAGTTTTGAACATAGCTTTAGTAAGCTCTCTGTTCCGAGTCAGGTCCTTGCATGTTCCCGAAGAAGGTTAGACGGAACATTGAACCTGATACGTTTGATTCCGAATGAACGGATGAGTTTCAAAAGTCTGATTTCATGACGATATATTTAAAGAATTATCAAAAATTCAAATTATAAAAGTATATAAAAATTATAAAGTAGAACCGCTTTCATAATTTTTCCGATATGTTCTGAGGTTAAGTGAGATTTAAGCCTGCAGCTTTCATAACTTGTTAACAGCTTTCGTTAAATTAAAATTATTTTTTTAAGTTTATGGAATCTTCTAAAGGTTTTTTTGATATTTGGTGGCATTTATTTGGTGGCATAAGTATTTCAAAATCTTCGAGTTGCCTGGCAGACGACAAGTGGAAGATTTTAGACATACTTCTGAATCTTCGACTTGTCTGATCCGAAAAATCTTTGACTTGCCTGGTCGACGGAATTCGAAAATATTTTGGTATCTTCCACTTGCCATTTTTACGACCAGGCAGGGACTATTTACGCTGCCTGGTAGTAAAAAAGCTCTTTACTAATTTGACCACTTACCTATGATTACTGCTCGAATGCGTTAATGCATTATCTCAATATGTTTATACAGACCGCTTGTATTTACTTTTGACCACATCTGCCTCGGCAAATTTCCAGTTTTCATACCGGATGATGGAAGAATCAAATCACCACTTAGATTTTTCTAGACATACCCTCAAATAGACTGAAGACATTACCTTACGGTTGTAAAACGACGTATATGAATAATTTTTCATACTTCTCGAATCGCATCTTTTGCAACCAGAGCTTAAAAATTCTTTTCTTTTCATGTGTAATGCAACGTTATTTTAAGGGAAGAAAATATACAGTGAAGGAATAAAATGATTATTCAATATATTAACATAGTCAGCTGATTTCATTCTATTGTGCACAGTACTGCTGTTCCTAGTCGAGCTAAACAAAACAATATCATGATAGTTCCGCCTGACATTTATAAAGTGAGTACAACTCAGTTATTGCCTAATGCTTCATGTGTTTCCTATCTAATCCTGATGCGTCTATCCTGTTGAAATGGAGTAAATTTAGACTCATTAGGTTACTAATCTTTTCTTGTTCCTTATTACTCAATTTCAGTATTTATTGGACAATTAGAGTATCTGCTCGATCAATCTTATTAATGCCTTTTCAGGTTCCCTTTATGGCACCTGTTTTAAGTTTAAAGTACTTGGGTGTAAACAAATCACTTTACAGCTATGCATGAGCTCTGTCAGGTGGCAATTAAATCCCGTATTGGGCGTTTTTATGAAGGGAGAGAAGCACAAAGTTAATTCAGAGAGAAATACTGAATGAAACCAGATTAGCTTTAATGTATCTCAACTTGATCAAACTTAAAAAAACATATTAGAGAATAATAGTCTATATGACTGGATATTAGGTGTAGAATGATTTTAAGCTCAAAGAATTCACAACTCAGTTTAATGTACTAGGAATCACAAATTTTCTAGCGGATAGTAACGTATTTAAACTTTCATTTGCAGCTTACCATCTGGAGATTTATTTCGATCCACGATTCTAAGACAGCCAAGTCATCAAACATTCACCAACAGCTAATTCAACCTCAAGCTGGCTTTGTTGTTTCTCGTAAACTCTATCGCTTCGTTCTACGTTTGGTTTATTTGACTTGACAAAGCACTCAAGGGCTATCTGCCTAAAAGAAGGGAGGCCTTCGTGGAGGACTTTCTAAGGGAAACTGGCTCGGATTATATTACGCTTGGAGAGAACCACGAAAATGTAATCCGTCATTCCCTCTGCGATTCCAAATGAAACTTTCATACACCTACGCTTGTCACTGAAAAGTCTACGTAACTTTCTGGAAGGAAGGAGTTGTGTGACTGAAGTAAGGAAGGATAATAAGAATTCAAATGAAAATGACTTCTTAGTTAACAAACTAAATTGTCACACCTTTTAGCAAAACATCCCAGTCATATAATGTTTTGTTTAACCTTAGCTTTGTGAATCTTCTCAATGTGGTTACAAACAGTCTTGTGTGCTATATTGAACATCAGCATTGAGTTCCAAGGCAGGTGTACTGTGATTCGATTTCATGTCGTTTTAGATATCATTGGTCATTATATGCAGAACTGATTTTTAAACACTCACTTTTCCGAAGTCGATTGTTCATAGGCATCTTTCTGAAATTTAATAATATGCTGAACGTTTTGCGAATTCATGCCAATAATTTCATTTACCTCATTGCAGATTTTCCCTCTTTAATGAAGATTAATAATCCATATTTTTATATGTAATATTTTTCTCCGACCTCATCTTCGGCTATGACTGCTCTGAAATGGCCAGCCGTATATTAAGATAATATACGCTTTGGATCAACATGCACATTGTATCATTTTCTTCAGGATTGAATTGCGTCTGATGTGAGGCAAATTTTCAAAATTCTGAATCATTTATTCTTTATCAGCATTCAGATTTAAGCTGCGAAATATTACCCTGCAAGAGTTTATAAGAAAGCTCAGTAACCGACATTTAATCAGTAGTGATACATAATGTACCCTAATTCACTGAAAAAAAAGCTTGAAATTCTATTCGCGATATTTTTCTCAAAAACATTTATATAGTTTAAGGTGACTTTGATGATTTTGTCGTCAGTGGTTTTGATTTACAGTATCAGTTTAGTTTACAATATTTTGAAACAAAAATTTCACAATTTGCTTTCATTTTACAACAGATTTTTCTGATCTCATATTAAATATCTCAGTTATATTCTCTTACACACTGAATGAAATCAGTATTAATTTCAAAACTTAGGATAGGTTTCTACTGCAATATAATCGAGCAAGTTATATGTGCACATATCAAAATGCTACTCATTCATAGAACGTTCAGAGTACAATAATGAGACAGAAAAATCCTTAAACCAAATTTCAAATAAAATGATTCTGATACAACAGTCTCCAGTCAACAGAAAAAGCAAAATGTCAACTCGAAAATGAGGAGAGCCTACAAACAGACTTATTGATTTGAAGTAACTATAAAGTCAAAATTTAATAGAATATTCTTTACTTTTTGTGGATACAATTTCATCATGTGATCAAGTTTCATATGGTATCCATTTATGACAAAATTTGATGTGCATCCCTCATGTTACCTGGGAAATGTTACCTGGGATAATCGAGTTCGAACTTTCCGAAGTATACTCAACGTGACTGAGTTAGCAGCATCAGTGATGCGTTCCTGCAGATCGAGCGATAACTGGAGGTAGTAGAAGTTTAAAGGCTCGATGTTTCACGTACATTTCAAAAGAAAAAGTTACAAGCAATAATGCTTAAGGATTGCGGAAACTATTTGAGAAACACCTTGTTACTTAGTCCATAGCGGCTAATCCATTTATCCGAAAGGTTGTAATTCAGCATTTTATGGACACCGCAATGCCAGTGATGTAGTGCACCATCCTGTTGAAGGAAGTAGACATCTACCTCATCAATCACCGCATTTTATGGACACCGTAATGCCAGTGA